GACGCTGACCAGAACACCAAGCACGGTCGCTGCCCCTCTCGGTCGGAGGCCTCGCAGGACAGCGGTCACGGTCGGCAGCAGCTGACCGACACCGCGTTCGTGAGCATCGGCCAGGTACGACACGACCACAACGGCCGGGCCGCTGGCTCAGAGATCAGGCGTACGCGACAACGGTCTGGAATGGCCTGACCAGCGGCGTAGTTCGTTGGGTGGGGAGACCAGTGGGCTATCGGCCAGTGCAGCGTTCGAACGCTGGTCGCAGCGCCGCTCCAGGGACGGCTTCCGTGTGACCCGGTGCGAAGAGGGCCAGTCCCGCTCCGTCCCGTCACGTCACGGACTGTCGCCGTTCTGACTGACGGACCCGCGCTCAGCGCGCTTTCCGACGCCAATAAAGCTCACCTGCACTCATAACAGACCGGCCTGTACCAATGCTGGCCTCACCACTTCATGACGAACCAAAAGACAGTTTCCGAATAAACGCTCGGAAACGTCTCCAACTCAACGCTCTGGAAAGCTCCAGCCCGAAATCTTTCTCTCACAACGGCGCCTGCCAGGCACGTTTTTGCGAGCACATGTAACGATCCCTGAAGAACGCTTTTAACGGAGCAAAAACTTGAACAGAACAGATTCGTTTCGACAAAAAACTTGGGCAAACTGCGCGTGGTCCACGACCTGAGCCACCGTCCAAGTGTCCGCCACTGCCGTAATGGCAGCGGCGGCACCCACCGTATCTGGGGTCGTCGAGCGCAGTGACGTCATAGTAGCGGTAGGTGCGGCCGTCCACGCGGAGCTGGCGGAGCAGATGATGGTAGCGGTGGGTCGGCGCTGGGGAGCGAGCGCACACGGTCAGCGTGCGTCCGGAACGGCGCCGCAGCCGGACAGCCGCGCACCGGCGAAGGAGGGCCGGCGGCGCGCGCCACCGCCGGCCCCGTCCTGTCTGTGCAACCGTGTATACCCGGCCCACATCGCTGCCAGTCGGCACTGGCCACTGATGGTCATCACATGCACGGCACACATGCACATCACAAACACCACCCGCGGCACGGGGCATGCCACTCCAAACAGCGCGGCATCACAGGGCACCAGCGCAGCCAAGCGGCGGTCGGGTCTTCACACAAGTCTGGTTGAGCGAATTCACGGCACTGCTCTTTTTTATGTTCCCGATCTGAAGCCGGTGTCGACGTGCGCCCCGAGCTTGAACGAGCCCCCGTCGGCCGCTCCCGGCGTTGCAGTCTCTCCGGCGGTGGGAGGTGTGCCGTCTGCCGGAGTTTGACCGTAACACCAGGCGGCGCGCCAGATAAAGTTACCCGCAATCGTGATGGTGCGCGTGTTCAACGCCAACACCTTGATGGCCTGGACAAGCCCTGCCCGAGACTCGCAGGTCCCGGCTCTGCTCGCGACAGCCACCTCCCACGCCCAACCCCACTCTGGTTAGTGTGGTCACTTCCGTGTGGCAGGCGCTTGGGTCAAGATGGCTCCCCATCAGGAGCCAAACGGCGACGCCGTCGCCCGCTGCGGCTGTCCAGGGTTCCTCGGCTGAACCCAGCGGACGACGCCCGACGCCTACCTGACATGATCAGCTGGGGCCCAGCCATGGCACGTCCGTGACACGTGACGTGTCCGGCTCAAACTCGTCAGACCGGCCGCTGCAATAGGGCAGCTTACCGCGTCAATCGCAACATGTTGCCATGTGGGTGGAGCTCGTGACTGAGCTGTCGTGATCGGCGTCAGATCACAAGCGGTCCGCGTCACCTCGCGACAGGCGGGAAGACCTGCCAGAAAGCTAATGCCAAGGCCGACTTTATCCTTCGGGGATGTCGCACGCCACCCACGTTTGCCTCGCTCTGCTCCCCGCCTCCACTGAGCGCACTCCGCGGCCAGTAAGAGGACCTGAATGTCGGCGACTGTGACCTGCTACTGTTTGTCATTAATGGTTTGCTTATAATGTTATGCGAGCATTGATAAATGCACTAGTTGTTTGAGTGTGACTATGCGATCATCCCGCGCTGTGACCGCAGCAGATGCACTCCCCTGGTAGCGGGCACTTGTTTATGTCCTTCACGCCACCGCGCCTTATTCCATCCGCTCCATTATTCACGCGAATACATTGTATGGATGCTACGGATTCGCTCGTTTTCTTAAATTGCTGGAAGAAAAACACAATGGACCTTTTCTCTGCAGTCGACATATGGAAGCTAACTCATTCGTCTAGGCTGCACTCGGAAGAACCGCTAACCGCCAACCGCCAACCGCTGACAGCCACCCGCCATCCGCCACCCGCCACCCACTGCCCGCCGCCCGCCGCCTGACCGACCTCCGACGAGGCGCACCGCCTGGTGTCAGCGGCCAGCCGCTGCCGGCGTACGCTGCGCGGATCCGAAGAAGCTGCGACGCCCGGCGCGGTCGACAGGGGCTCATTCAAAACCAAGGCGCCTATCGATCCAATCGCACATCGAAATGATGGGGTGCATATGGTCTTTAAAACAAAGAAGGCCACTCTTTTATCAGTTTTACCTTGAGCTTCCCCAAAAGTCATTTTGAACCCAAACTTGCTGGTCCGGTTATGATGTCCCATGGCACTGCTTGAGCCATCACACAATGCTGGTGGAGCCATCACAACACTGGTCCAGATATTGCATGCACACACATACACAAAAACACACACACACATACACACTGGTCAACTGCCACAACACGGTACTACAACCACAACACAGCTCTGGTTGAGCCATCAAATGGCATGATGTCAGAAATCAAAACACTGGAGACAACTCTTGTCAAGCATTCACACAGGGGGTGCCACTTTATATACTTAAGTGCTCGACCCTGAGCCCCTCTCCACAGTGTTGTACCTCCCCCCTTGGTGCTCTTCTGGGCTCCTCAATGCATTTGAGAAAAAGAGAAATTGGGCTAAGGAAATGGATAAAGTACCTTAATTTTTTGCTTCAATTTTGTTTAAGTTCTTAGATATTGCACAAAAATCATGTCTACTTTGCACAAAACAATATCTCAGGTCAAGCCAAACCATTTTCAATCAAAGTGCCTTCATTATCCCCCCCCCCCCTAGCTGTTTTTGATGCATGATGAACAATAGCTATTGTTGTTAATCACAAGGACTCAAAAAACAAAGATGTTTTCTGTCTGTGAACTACAGCCTTGCACAGTTGGCAAAACAGAATGGAACTGACAACATGTGTTGTTAAAACATTCTGATGTCTAAGGCATGCAAATTAAAGTTGCCAAAATACAAGAAGAAATCAAGTTTGGAGTATGTTTGGTCAACCTTATCAGCTCAGGCTCCCACTAATAAATTTAACAGCATCAAACCCCTGCCCACACAGAACTGGTTCAACCCTCAAAAGGTTTTATTAAACCATCTTCAACCAGCTATTTTACAGAATTGGCACCACAGATGTATTATGCTTCTGCCTGACTGCTCTTGACCTCTGTTGCTGTGGTAAAGATTCCACATGCAAAACTGATCATAAATATGACTTACCAAATAAAAACCATGTATATAATCACTGCAAGGAAGTCATCTTAACTCCCTTTGAAAACTTACCAGAGCTTGAATTGCACAAGCACTATACCATCTTAAACACTATACTGCAGGTCTGGCAGGCTCTGGTCACAGTAACTTAAAAACAATCCCTATCAATTTGACTAGAAAGTTATCGTGGAATACAAAGCATCACTCTAAGACTAATAGAAACTGTAGCTCATTTTGCCTGCTCCTATTAAGATGTTTGATTGTGGGCAGCTTATCAAAATATTGGACACAAATCATTGAACAGAACTATTGAGGGAATCATAATATGTCATGCAATATCCAAAATTGATGAGATCAAAGGAAATCACCACATCTGATGGTAAAGCATATCTTTGAGGCACATAACATTACCAAATCTACCCCAAAAAGAGCAATTAGCTATCCTATTTGTGGTAGCATCCTGTCTGCCTCTAACATCTTGTTGACATGTTTGTCATGGGTTGAAGACTCAAGCTAAGCTAAATGTCAACCCACACCAAATTCTGCACACCCATGTCACTTGGGAATTTACAGGCAACAGTGCAATAGCACCCTCTAGAAGAGCAAGTAGCTAAAATGGCAGACAATTGTACTCACCAGTTTCTCCCATGTCTTCTTTCACCTAGTGTGCAGTGCTGGATCTTACTACCTCACATATACGAACCCATGGTAGGTTTAAACAACAAGTGAAAGCAATGTATCCAGCATCAAACAAGGCACAAAAAGTATCTTGGTTGTCCAGCTTCAAGGCGGAAAAACGTGACGAACAACTGGCCAGCTTAATAAACCTATATTCCACGCGACTCGAAGCAAAATTTTGGCAAAAGTTTCTTTCTACATATCACATTGCGCTCCCTTCGACGTCAAGATGCAAGATATCTCACAACACCACGACAAAAACACCGCCGCTGGCCCGACAGCGCCACCCAATGCGCCCTCGCCCGCCTGCGTCCCGTAACAGACCGCTTGCTCCGCTCGCTACGGTCTCCAGGAACAGAGCAAATACAAATATGACGCAAACATTGTTAGCTGTTTGTTGGTGTTTTGATGCATGGTCTCTGTGTGAAATCTTTGTCACCTGTTTACTTTCAAGGCCGATATTTTTTCTTGGTACGTCACAAAGACGTGGATAAAAGTTAGAAGGTAATTAGAAAAATCACGTGTTTAGGCACCAAATTTTCGCACCAATTTTGCTTCATGCACTTATATCAGAACAACCTTTTATTGAACGTGAGTATTAGCTTGTTTTCTAATCTGACACATTTATATTCCTGTCATCATGCTTTGTATTCACATGTGTTCCAGCTACCGACCTTCTCTAATTATGAATGGCAAATATTTTTCTTAAGGAAGAAAGCTGTTCAGGATAAGCAACTGCGCTGCAACTTGGAATCACATTTAGGGCACCAGCGCTGCTAACAGAACTTGTGATATATCAGCTGATATTGCTTGATCAGCTGGGAAGGATATTCAGCTGGTGGTACCTTAGGCACACATGGCCGAACTGTGCCAACAGCATTTCCATGACCACATTGCGATAGTAACATTCTGTTTGTGAGTGGGGTACGGGGGTGGGGGTGCGCACTTACGTCGTATGAAGTTTTTGGGGACTGTGTGTTTGGCATCGGTTGGTTATGAGGCCTATTGTGTATGAAAGCGGTGTTTGTATCTCAGTTAATAGTTATACGTCCTGTGTTAAACATGCCCATCACAGCATTGACATTGCAATTACATCATTGCATGCACTCAAGTGCTCAGAGTGTGTTGCACAGCTGCCACTGATTTGAATGCATAGAGACAATGTTTCTGGAAATAGTGATGTGAAACTAATGGCAGGAAGAGTATGAATACTCAGAAAATGTTTGCTTACTATTATCACCTGGAAATTGAGCACAACTTGGCCTGGCCTGAGCTTAGTGCATGTGAGCATTTAGTTCAGAGCATGGATGTTATATGGGGTGTCCAGCACAGTGGAGAGATCTGTTGCAGTCTGGCCTCAATCTGATTTGACATAAACTTGGTGTAGGTGTACTTTCCTACCTAACACTAGAAAAAATCATTGCACACCATTCGTCATGTTCAAGGCATCATCTCAAAACAGGTAGAATCATGCTCCTACCTTCGAATTTCAATAACTTCGATGGCGAGCTCCTGAGCGCCGTGCGCACCGCACCGCCTGGACTCCCCAGCGCCGTTTCTGCGTTGCCGTCGCGTAAATACCATATTTCTGCTTACCAAGAACTCTACAAAATGTACGGGACCAAGGTAAACCATTCGTTGTGTTTAAGGCGGAACATATCGTAAATAATTTCAAAACAGATAGAATCATGCTCCTACCCTCGAATTTTAATAAATACGATAGCGAGCTCCCGAGCGCCGCATGCCCCGCACCGCACTGCCTCGGCTTCCAAGCGCCGTTTCTGCGTTGTTGCGAAAGCACAATATTTCTGCTTATCAAGAACCATAAAACATGTACGGGACCAAGGTAACAATAATAAAGCAACCAAAATCGTTTCTTATCGAGTTTAGGTACACTTATGAAACACACAGGCCAGAATAGTCCAGAACATATCCTAACCTAACCTAACCTAACCTAACCTAACCTAACCTAACCTAACCTAACCTCCCCACCCTATATCCCCTTCAACCCAGCATCTCATTGGCATCCATGTTCCATGCCATATATAGGTGCCATATAGTGTGGCGTCGAGGATCAAATTTCATGGATTCTTGCTACCTTGTCCCGGTACATTTTTATGGTTCGCAGTAAATGTGGTTTATAGTTATAGTATGGTTTATATAGTATAGTTTAAAGTTATAGTTATGGTTTATAGTATGGTTCGCAGTTAATGTGGTTTATATGGTGAATATGGTTATGGTAAATATGGTTTATGTTTAGTAAATATTTTTTTTGGTTTGCAGTTAGGTTATGGTTGTCCTGCCTTAAACATGACGAATGGTTTACTTTGGTCCCGTACATTTCGTACAGTTCTTGGTATGCAGAAATATTGTATTTACGCAACGGCAACGCGGAAACGGCGCTGGGGAGTCCAGGCTGTGCGGTGCGCGCGGCGCGCGGGGGTCCGCCATCGAAGTTATTGAAATTTGAAGGTAGGAGCATGATTCTACCTGTTTTGAGATTATTTACGATATGTCATGCCTTAAACACAACGAATGGTGTACAATGATTTTTTCTAACGTTAGGTAGGAAAGTACACCCTGACCATTATGTGTACTAAACCTGGTGCATAGTTGTACTGAGCTCAGACCAGGCCAAATAAAGCCAAATTTTTAAAGTTATGCATGCTTTTGGGAATGTTTTAAAGTATGTGTCTTTGCTTCTACCATTGTAACATCATAATTACTTTGAAACATTGGCTCCCATACAATGAATTTAATTGTGTTAATGAATCTGGTACTGACTGCACCAAACAAATGGGGTGCTTAGATTTGCAGTGTGCAGTGAACCAAAATGACTATCTTGTTGCAGCAATGTTGCTGCTATGCTGGACATGTTTGGCCTAAACTATTCTTTGCAGTCTGGCCTAGGTGCTCAGCGCAGCCTATCCTGCCCCCTGTTGTCACCTGATTGTCATGCTATCTTAGTCAGGGATAACTAGTAGATGCCTTAAGGGACTTAACACTCCATGCCATGGGTGGATGAATCAGAAGGCATGTGCTCTAACCGACTGATGTTTTTGGACAGACTCGAGTGCACTTAGTTCTGTGATGTCTTCCACCTGGGTGTGCCTCAAAAAAGGTATTGAGGAATAGAATTGACATATTTTTGGGGGTGTTTCAGAGCAAAATAGATATTGGGGCAGTATTGCACAATTTTTAACAAAGGAACCTGACTATAGGCCAAGCTTTGAAGACTCATGTTTCAGTGCAGCAGTGTTTTCTCAATAGTGTTTTTTACCATACCTCCTGGCATATTGAAGGTCAATTATTTTCAACATGAGAACTTTGAACTCATAATGCTGGAACATCAAGTGCTTAAGGCATTTTTTGGATGTATCCAAATGCCTATCAGAGAGCTAGTTTAGTCATACTCAGCTGGCCACTTTGGTGCTCCATCCAGTCTGCAGCCTTTACCTTCTTTTGTTGGGTTTTCCATTCACCCATATGTTGATATGTTTCTTGAGTCTGTTGAGAATATTGTGCAATCTCAGCTTCACTTTCATGTATAGGCACATCCTGGTTGTGAACATGATTCCATAGCTTCCCTTCCATAGCACACCACCAGCTCTGCATAGAGCCATCCTGTGTGCACTTCAGGCTATGTTCATTGAATGATAAGCACCATTTTGTTGGTCACTGCAGGTTAATATACTAGGATGCTTTCCTGTGAAGTGTACCCCATTCTACACTTCTCACTGAAATGTAGTGTATGATGAATTGAACTGGTAAGGCATTTTTATGCAGCAGAGCAATTTGGAATATACCAAGTAAGTGTTTAGGAAGTTTGATTTTTACTTTGGGATGTGAATTTTAAATGTTTGAAACAGTGGGGAAATCATACCAGGTTCATTTTGACTTTAGAATGTGAATCTGAAATGTTTGAACCATTAGGGAACACTTTTGACATCAGGCTCATATGATCATAATAATAAGGGAAATCAGGTTCCATGTGCACCTACAAATATGAAGCAGAAACCTGCATACACACTTCCTGGCATGCAACTTGCAGTTGCATTTCAAATTGGCATACTTGCTTCCATGTAGTTATGTTTTTGCCATATTTACAATGTTCAGCATGCATGTGTAATATGGAATGTGTTATTTCCCAGATTCTGAACCTCTGTTAGGGTGCTACTGAAAACAGAGATGGAAGCAAGTGGAGATTTGGCCAATGCCAATACTTCTTCAGAAGATCCCAAAATTGGCAGGAGCAGTTCTACACAGGAGAAGCTTGCCCAAGCAAAGGCCAAATCCAAAAGGGTCAGATCTGTGTCAATCTCTGAGCCTCAGCCCACAAGGTCTCAGCCTAAGTTGTCCAAGAACAGCAGAAGATCACGAGGTGGTCTGGGGAGGGGACTTCCGAAGAAAGGTAAGTTTTGAACGGGCTACAGCTCCTGTCAGATTTGGCTTGGAATATTTGTCCTCCAACCCCATATGGTGAAGCTGTGTGGTCATTCCGACCATAGGTAGAAAAAACTAACTGAATGCCTCGATGCAATCCTTACGCGATCGTGCGTTCATACAGCTGACTCACTCTTCATCCTTTAAAACCGTTTTTTAGGCTAAGAAGTGAGTACTCCAGCAGTGTTCTGTTTTGAGCACATTGACCATGAGACGTGTCGAGTGTCCGCTTTGTCCGTCCTGAGGGCGCCCACCGCCCGCGGGTCGGCAGGCCTCGCCTCCTCGCCACGCTGAGGTGCACCCGGCCGGCAGGTGGCGCCGGTGGCAAGGGCGTCTGGGGCAAACCGGGCTCCGAGCTGGAGGACCCCGGCTCGGCCGTCGACTCGCGCGACCCCAACTATGACTCGGACTCAATGGACGACCACGTGCAGCTGGAGCCGGTCCCGGTCGAGCTGAGCGCGGACGAGATTAAGGTGCGCCTCCCACCCCCGCCCCCCGCCCCATCCCCGCCGAAAAGACGCCCTTGTGCCCGGTCGAGGCGGTCGCGCCAGCTGCGTGTGACACGTTGTCTCCCCGGTTGGCGTTCTGTGGAGGACTGGATGGTCGTGATGATGTCGGGAGGGGCTGTTGTGACTCTCGGGCACGTGATGACGGGAGGGCTGGCTCTTTGGCACGCGGTGTCGTCCGCTGGAGCAGGTCTCAACCCACCCGTGCCTGGCGATGCTGTTGTAGTATGCTTGTAATCAATAAGCATGTGGCGGGCCAGTGCCCTTGGTATTTTGTCAATTGTGACGCGAAAACGGACTGGTCTTGGTGCGTCTTCTCGAGGCCCACTCCGTGTGCCAGTAGGTACGCCACCGATGCATCCACGTCCCCGCCCCCGCTGACATTGCCAAAGTGAGCTTTTGGGGTCATGCCCGCTCCCCTTGTATGTTTTGGGGTTCCAACCGGAGCCCGAAGGTCCGGGACTTTTGGCAGCTAAAGATGCGTGTAGGACTTCTGAAACATAAAAACGGTGTCCGAAACATCCAGATAGCATCCAAAGTACAAAGATCCCCCTGAGTTCAGAAAGGCCCCTAAGCAACAAAGAGGGCCCCTGGGGACGAAAAGGACCCTATAGCGGCGAAGAGGGCCTCTCTAAGCGACGAAGAAGGCCTCCTAGGTCTTGAAGATGGGCGTCATATGACCAACGTAGTCCGTGCGCCCCAAAGCCCAAATCATCATCATCATCATCACAAGCGATGAAGACAACACACAAGTGGCGAGGAGGCCTCCCTAAGCGACGAAAGGGGCCCCTAAGCGACGGGGAGGGCCCCTAAGCGAACACGAGGACTCCTTTAGCTGAGAGGATCCCCATGACCTGGTCCGGCCCGTCTCAGACTGACGGCCTGGCCAGATCACTGCTCAGCGCCGTGCGCGGCTGACCGGCTCGTCCGGGCGCGCTCTCCGCAGAAGCTGGCCGAGGGCCTGGTGCTCGAGTACTTCGACCACGGCGACACTGGTGAGGTGGATGGTGCGCTGACCGACAACTGGGACAGCATCAACATGCACCTTCGCTACCTGGTAGGCATTCGGACAGCCTGGCCGGCTCCCCCGGTAAGCGTCTGTACAGCGTGCCGCCGGGGACGCTGTGACCGAGCAGCCGGTGTGCGCCAAAGCTCTCACAGTCAACCCCAGAAGGCAGAACGCCGCATTGGCCGCTTGGAAAAAAATGCCGGACTGATGAAAAAGGACTGAATGGTGCTGAGCTGGTGGGTGCGACGTTCCGACCCACCAAAAGCAGCAGTTGTTTTCGGTGCTAGAGTGCTGCGGAACGCAATGTCAGCAAAACAGGCGAAGTCGCCACTTTCCCTGCACCCGCACAAATAAGTACATCTCAGCAATTTTTGCAGGCAGCTGTGTATTGTTAGGCCCCAAAAATGTTCCCAAAGTATAGATTGCCTACTTGCTATTGCGTGCTTAGATGTAAATGTGGCGTTCGCCTTGTAATGACAAGTGACGGTGACAGGTGGGCCCAACGGCTGCGAGTATCACACCGCTCTGGGCGCGTTATCGTCGCGTCGAGTGGTGCGTTGCACGAGCCCCGATCATGCCTGCTAGCCGGGGCGACTGTGGGCGGCGCGGTGCGCCAGGCCCCGCGGTCACTCCGACACACGGACCGTGGCGCCGCGCTGGCGTGCCGTGCCAGCGCCGCTCGTCGCACGCTGTGACCCGTGACGGCAGCCAGCCGACGACGGCAGCGACGCGGCGGGTGCACACGCCCCTGCAGGCGACGCCCGCGGGTGCGTCGCTGGCGCCGCGGATGTCACTCAGCGGTCCGTGTGGTGCCGTATGTCGGCGGATGCCGCGGCTCAGCGGCGGCTCCTGTGGCTCAGGGGCGGCAGGCTTGTGACGCGCCGCCTGCCGGTGGCGAGGTCTCCTCCCTGCTCTTGGCCAGATAGCCGACCGCAGCAAAGACCAAAGCAGCTGCACGCATCGAAACGTGACGGGCCGTGCCGTCTGCGCCGGAGCGGGCCGACGGACGCGGCGACCGCGTCACGTGCCGCCACAGTGCGTGACGCGGCCGGTCCGCTGTCAGCGCAGACGCGGCCGCGGCCGCTCCGCTGTCAGCGCAGGCGCGGCCGCGGCCAGCTCCGGCCCAGGCCAGGAAAGGCTAGCGCTGGCCGGCCCACGACCGCAGCCTGCCGTCGCGGCATTTACGACAGCCGTGTGACGCGGGCGGCCTCGCCAAGCGGCCCTGATGTGGACTGACAGGGCGCGGCGCGGCGCCTCCACGCTAATGTTGCGGTGCTGATGAGGCGGCCGTTCACCCGCTACTGGGATCGGCGGGAACGAGTAATGGTACGGTAGTACGCGTCATGCGAGGAACTGCGCGCGCCCATCACATGGCTTACGGTTCATCGACCGAAGGCACGGCAAACACGAGCTGTGGGAGTCGAGACGACCTTCAGTTACCCCAGAAAGCGATGCTCATGACCCCAGCAGCAAACTGTTGAGCTTTTTTGTTTTGCTTTGAGCTGTTTGCATCCATTGGCTTAACATGGCAGTGTTCCCCTGCAGCACGCTGCGCCGCCGAGCTCATCCGCAGACTCCGGCCGCGTGTCGCGGAACACGGTACGGCCTCCGAACTCCGTACAGTCTCGACACTGTAGTAAAATGGAGCACGAATGTGTTAGAATGAGCTTAAAGCAAAGTAGTGGAATAGTTAGATTATGTATATATAATATCTTGTTTATTAAATGAGTAGAGCAGCCAATGGACCGGAGAGCGTGTGTGCAGGAAGTGAGCCTCTGTTTGCATGCGTGTTTCAGATCGTAGTGACTATGATCGAGGTGGCCATGGACCACAAGGCGTCCCACCGCGAGCTGACTTCGGTCCTGCTCTCTGACCTGTACCAGGAGTGTCTGACGCAGACGGACATCTCCAGAGGTGCGTCCGCTGCGGGCCGGCGTCACCGGCGCCTCTGCGCGCCCGCTCGCCGGCGGGCATCACGTCAGGCCTCAGCCAAAATGTGCCGATGGTGTCGACTGGTTGTGCTCTTTTATAGCCGACGTTTATTGGCTTCAAGTCTGTTCTGGATTGTTCAGGTGAAAAAGCTGGAGTAGTTAATGTTGTGAGTAGTTATTTACTACTTTAAATTGCTCTGCTGCAGCTGGAGTAATTACTAAGAAGCTCACCCCCGTCTGTATTTGTAGTTCCAAGAATCTTACCTCATGTCACTTGAATTCAGGCTGGGTCCTGCCGAATTGCTTTCATGAATTAGATGTGGATTGAAATGTGCCTGCGAACTAAGTGAAGACTGTCTTGAACGCATGTCGAGGGTGCCGACACGAATTAGACGTTGATTCATGTCCATGATTTTATGTCAGCAAAAGCAAACATAAGCGTAAGTCACGCCCACGTAAACATGTACATAGCAAACCGTCTTTAAGTGCAATTCATTGCGTTGTTACGAGTATCCTCAGCGCAGGGATAAGCCCAGAGTGCGAAGTGAGAGTGTAGAGATACATCCCAATTCATGTCTTACCCTTTGTGTTCAGCTTTTAATTGGCCTGATATGTGGTTCATCCTTACTGAGGGTATGCCTTACCAAGTCTGTGGATCTCAGGCCTGGTTCTGTGCTCCCATGAAAAAGCAAGTTTCTCTTGATGGTTGGCCCGAATCCCGAGGTTGCCAAGCAATTTGGTGCCTGGTCTGAATCCTTCTAGTTGCATCCTTAGTGGTGCTAAAAACACGGTTTTGTATGGCACGGTGGCTACTGCAAATATACATGGAGTGATTTCAAAACATGGTATGGCCATGCGACAGCGACAGTCCGTTAAAACCACATTTTGACAAAGAGGCCTGACCTTTAGAGTCGGCTCCGGCTAAAAGGACGCTTGAAATGCCGCATCTTGGCGCCGCATCTATCTCGCGCGCGTTTCGTACCATGCGGCGAGCCACCACACTGCATATCCTGGCCGGCCACGTTTCGGTTCTGTGTCGGATGCTGTTTGCCAGCACGGATTCGTTGTCTTGTCCGTCGCTGAACTGTGCGCCGCCTGTTCCCTGCCAGACTCGGGCGCTACTTGGCTTGCCTTCGCCAGATGCAGTCCCCGCATTAGGCAATGAAAAGCTCCGCTTCGAGGTTTGTCAGGCAGATGGCTCCTGCCCCCGGGCGGGCCCTGACTACCAGCCAGAACTCGGCCGGCGCCCCGTTCGCGGCTCGTATGTCCTGCCCAGCCCTCCCTCCCCCGTCAGTGCGGAGCAGCCGAGCTCTGTCCCCAGCGGCCCTCTGCTCGGGCTTGGCCAGGGACAGAGCCCCGATGGGTTACATAACCGCGCGAACCGGCGTCAGGACCGATGCTCCATCGGCCAGATCCTGTTGCTGGATCGTTTGATCCGTGGGGGCGTTCTGTGCATCGGTCCATGGGCGGCTGGCGAACCCTTCCGGCCGGCCGGCGCTCGCTCCCCGGCCTGCCTCGGTCTGTCAGCGGCCAGACTTGTGCGGCGCCGCAGCGCCAGCTGACCGTATCTTCCGCGGCGCTAGGGTTCGAGGCTCTGCTGGGCTCGTTGTCCGACTTGGTGCTGGACTGTCCCGAGGCGCCCACCGTCCTCGGCAACTTCCTGGCGCGCGCCGTGGCCGACGACTGCCTGCCGCCCAAGTACCTGACCAGCCACAAGGGCAAGGTCGAGTGTCGTCTGGCCGTGTGAGTCAGGACTCGGGCCGACCGCGGGCCGGCCGCGTCAGACGCCCGCTGGTCTGCAGGCGGGGGGGGGGGGGGGCGTCAGTCAGGTCAGCGGGCAGTGGTGTCCGCCGGAACGGCGTCAAGTCGGGCCTGCCGGCCTTTCGGCGGTGTGTAGTATCTAGCGTGCATCAACTACATGCATGTTGAGCCCGTGCCTACGTGCCTGGTGCACACGGAGACGTATTATAGCCGCCTTCCGTGCCGGTCTCCAACGGCCTCCAGATCAGTACTGTCGTTACATAAAATCCTGTCGTCGCTTTAAACGCAGGTGTCGGCGTCGTCGCGCGCCGGCTCCCCGAAGCTATATGTGGTGCGCAGCGTCCGCTCTTAGCCGGACGATGCTGCGATGGCGCCGGCGCCGGTACACCGGCCGCGACCGCTCCGCTCTGACCGCCGCCCTCGCTGGCCGACCGCCGCAGGCAGGCGCTGGACCGGGCGGACGTGCTGGTCAACATGCGGCAGGGCATGGTGCGGCTGGACAGCGTGTGGGGCGTGGGCGGCGCCCGCCGGCCCGTCCGCTCGCTGGTCAAGCAGATGACGCTGCTGCTGGAGGAGTTCCTCACGTCCGGCGACACTGAGGAGGCCATCAGGTGCGCGCGCGCTGTGACGAGCAGGGCGCCGGCAGCGTTTGTCGGGGTCGCCCCCGGTGCTGGCCGAGCGGCGGCCGGTCTGGGAAAGCCGTTCGGTGTACATCTGAGCTCGTGGTCTTGTAACGAGGTTATCTATGTGAAGGACGCGTTTCAGTGGAGCGCGCCTCTCCTCCTTGTGTTGTCTTATTTCGCCGCGCAGGGTTCTGCGGCGCTCCTCGGTGCACGTCACTGTCGCCGTCATGTGCCATCATCCGCCGCCCCCGGCAGATGTCTGAAGGACCTGGAGGTGCCGCACTTTCACCACGAGCTGGTGTACGAGGCTGTCACCATGGCTATCGAGCGCTCTGACGACAAGTCCATCGCGGAGATGGTGCGCCTGCTGAAGGCCATGTCTGACGCCTGCGTGCTCAGCCCCAACCAGATGGACGAGGTGGGTGCGTGGCGCCCGGCGGCAGCTGCGCCCGCTCTTGGTGCTCCGGCCGAGACGCATGGGTGGTCCACCTGCTGATCACTGGCCGGTCACTGACCACAGCTGACCACAGCTGACCAGCCACTGACCACAGCTGACCAGCCACTGACCACAGTTGACCACAGCTGACCCGCCACTGACCACAGCTGGCTGGCCACTGACCACAGCTGACCCACCACTCACCACAGCTGACCCGCCACTCACCACAGCTGACCAGCCACTGACCACAGCTGACCAGCCACTGACCACAGCTGACCCACCACTCACCACAGCTGACCCGCCACTGACCACAGCTGACCAGCCACTGACCACAGCTGACCACAGCTGACCTGCCACTGATCACAGCTGACCCTCCACTGACCACAGCTGACCAGCCACTGACCACAGCTGACCCACCACTGACCACAGCTGACCAACCACTGACCACAGCTGACCACAGCTGACCACAGCTGACCCGCCACTGATCACAGCTGGCTGGCCACTGACCACAGCTGACCCACCACTGACCACAGCTGACCCGCCACTCACCACAGCTGACCAGCCACTGACCACAGTTGACCACAGCTGACCACAGTTGACCCGCCACTGATCACAGCTGACCTTCCACTGACCACAGCTGACCAACCACTGACCACAGCTGACCCACCACTGACCACAGCTGACCAACCACTGACCACAGCCGACCACCGCTAGCCACAGCTGACCATGGCTAACTACAGCTGACCACCGCCAACCGCAGCTGACCACCGCTGACCACAGCTGACCACGGCTAACCACAGCTGACCGGCCACTGGCCACAGCTGACCAGCCGCTGACCACAGCTGACCACCGCTAACCACAGCTGACCAACGCTAACCACAGCTGACCACAGCTAACCACAGCTGATCAGCACTAACCACAGCTAACCACAGCTGATCACCGCTAACCACCGCTAACCACAGCTGATTACTGCTAACCACAGCTGATCACCGCTAACCACCGCTAACCACAGCTGATTACCGCTAACCACAGCTGATCACCGCTAACCACGGCCAACCACAGCCGATTACCGCTAACCACAGCTGATCACCGCTAACCACCTCTAACCACAGCTGATTACCGCTAACCACAGCTGATCACCGCTAACCACAGCTGATTACCGCTAACCACAGCTGATCACCGCTAACCACGGCTAACCACAGCTGACCGGCCTCTGACGACCCATACATCTAAGGCTTCTGTTTGGGATTGGACCGCTGGTGGTCTCCTGTCTGCCGCGAGCTCCCATCCCTCCGCTGTAGGGCGTCCGACTGACAGAGCGCGACACACACCAGGCCCCGCCCCCCCCCCCCCCCCCACAGCGTTCTGACGGCGGACCCTGCCGCCAGGGATTCGCCCGCGTCTACGAGAACATCCCAGACATCCAGCTGGACGTGCCGAACGGCCACGCGCTCATGGAGAAAATCGTGACGCTGGCCTTCCAGGGCGACATCATCTCGTCCGACACCAAGAGGAAGATGCCGGCCAGGTGGGTACCCGCTGGCGGACTGCGCCCTCGTGCTGCTCAGCGTCTGGGAGGACGCCAGGCCAGTGCCGTGAGCGATAGAGGCTGCCCGTGCAGGTCAGCCGGTCAGCTTTCGCTCGGTGTATGCGCGACACTGACTTGTGATGCGTGATGGGATGCTGCTGTGGTCTTGGCCTGTCGTGTTCTCGTCACGTTGGTTGAGGCATCTTGCGCAACATCGGCTGGCGCTAAGCTCGTTACGCATAATCTGCTGTTGTTTAAGCCATCAATTTGGTTGCATTGATTGTCTCGTGCCGCTGTTTGCCACATGCCCCCTTCCCCCGCTCGTCGTGGCCGACTCCCGTCCCCAGCGCGTGGTGACGGCGCCGCTCTGTCGCAGGGGTCGGAAGCGGTTCGTGTCGGAGGGAGACGGCGGCCGCATTAAGGAGCGCGGCGACGTTTTCCCGCTGGCGTACTGAGCGGCATCGCGCACGGGGCTCGTCCACCGAGCCCCGCACTGTCTGATACGGGTGGCGAAACGGCTCCACCGCCTCCTCCTTCCCTGCTCCCCTGAGCGGGGGAGCCGGCGGCGGTGCCTCCTCCTGCTCCCCTGAGCGGGGGAGGCGGCGGCGGTGCCTCCTCCTGCTCCCTTGAGCGGGGGAGGCGGCGGCAGTGCCTCCTCCTGCTCCCTTGAGCGAGGGAGGCGGCGGCGGTGCCTCCTCCTGCTCCCCTGAGCGTGGAGCCGGCGGCGGTGCCTCCTCCTGCTCCCCTGAGCGGGGGAGGCGGCGGCGGTGCCTCCTCCTGCTCTATTGAGCGGGGGAGCCGGCGGCGGTGCCTCCTCCTGCTCCCTTGAGCGTGGAGCCGGCGGCGGTGCTGTCCCCGCCGCTACCCCGTGGCCGGCGTTCGGTTTATTTTTGTATGGGGTATTTTGAGCGGCTCAGCTGCGACGAAGCCATAAAGTGGAGGGTGCGAGGTGGATGAGTGCGGCGGGCGGCGCCGGACCGCCGGCTCGGTGGTCTGACGCCACCTGCCTGGGTCACGGCGTGCGAAGGTGCCATGCGCGCCGTCTTAACCTTTGAAGCTGTGCCACAGGGCAAGCCCGGTCAGCAGGTTCATTTCAGTTTTGCGTTCGGCTCGAGAAGTACAAAACATTTTGTTGGGGAGGGTGAACCCCGGAAACGGTGGGTCGTTTACCAAGGGCGTCGCTCGTTGGAAGGAAGGGTCTGTCTGGTCGGAAAGGGGCGTGTCCCCGTGGGCAGCGCTCCGGCGCGAGCTCGGGATACAGCGGTGGTACTTCTGGTGGTGCTGGGTCGGTGATAAGGCCCTGCTTGTATTGCGGTAGGACGGCCGGTCCCAGCCAAGTTTATGCGTCGTTTCAGTGCGGCCTTTGGGGACGTGTAGCTGGCAGGCAGGATGGAACAGAAACGGCTCCTTAATGGCATGATCTCGGAACGTGACCTGAAATTTGCTTGAATGTCAAGCGATCAGTATCGCTTGGTGGTGTACAGGAGGAAGCGCGGTTCTAAATGTGCGCGAGTCAAACCAAATGCTGCAATAAAGTCAAGTATTTTTACTACGTTCAAACTGTTTACCGTTGTTGAAGCAAACAACACGTCATTGCTCTGGGGTTCTCTTGGTATGCGTTATGCAATGCTCGCTCCCATTGTTGCCCCCTTGGCGACACGTTTGGTGCGTCCGTCGAGCATAGTACCTTCGAATACACGAAGTGAGCCACCAGTTTGTCGTTTAGTCTGGAAGCGAGCGATGAAGCCTTGCGCCACTGGTTCGTGAGCGCGATCACATAGCCTACTGCTTTGAAACGCGCGTCGACGCTATCATGCTCAGATCGCGCTGGTGGCGGCGATGACATTGGGTCTGTAAACTGTCATGCCCCTGTGACGTACGAGAACGTCTGTTCCGTGTGCCATGTTAACGAGGCAATCAAATAATGCCCAGCGGGTGGTAGCGTTCCGCCGACTCCTTGCGGTGTGCCTGACGGGGTCGCAGTGCAGAGGCGCTGTAGCGTCGCCCGCTCCCGGCATCAGAGCCGTGCCCCTGAGGCGCCTGAGCCAAGCCCCTGGGGCGCTGGAGCAAGCCCCTGGGGCGCCGGAGTCAAGCCCCTGGGCGCCGGAGCCAAGCCCCTGGGGCGTCGGAGCCAAGCCCCTGGGGCGCCGGAGCCAAGCCCCTGGGCGCCGGAGCCAAGCCCCTGGGGCGTCAGAGCCAAGCCCCTGGGGCGCCGGAGCCAAGCCCCTGGGGCGCCGGAGCCAAGCCCCTGGGGCGTCGGAGCCAAGCCCCTGGGGCGCCGGAGCCAAGCCCCTGGGGCGCCGGAGCCAAGCCCCTGGGGCGCCGGAGCCATGCCCCTGGGGCGCCGGAGCCAAGCCCCTGGGGCGCCGGAGCCAAGCTCCTGGGGCGCCGGACGCGTGCCTCTGGGGCGCCGATGAGCATGCCCGCGCGGGCTCGCATGCCGCCGCGTGATGCCTGAAGACGGACGCTGGTAGATTCTCGCGTAGCCTGGAGTCCTGGGCCCGGTGCTCCGGCGATAGATCTAACGGACTCGTTCTTCCTGAAACTTGGCGCTGGTCTGATGTGGGCGTTCAAGTGCGTTGGCGTTACAGCCGACATCGCCAGCATTAGTTTCTGCTCTCACGGTGTTGTGTGCTCTGCATATACTGCATTATATTTTTCGTACATTATACTGCCAGTTACACGCAGACACGACAAACGACGACTCTAGGACGCAGGCACTAATGTGTTGTACAAAAAGGCCTGGTTCTCCGCTTTCCATTCCTCAATCCAGCCATTTTGGAACGGGCCGGGTAGTTCAACACATATTCCTGGTCACTAGTGCTGTGGTGTCCAATGCCCCCAGAGGCTCATTGCATCAAGTCCCGAACGAGCAAGCAGCAATGGTCTGACAACACATTGGCTTAATTTGTGCCCAATATAGAGCCTACAAATGCAACAGAACTGTCGTAACAAATATTCACAACAGACGGTAGAAAACTTGCCACAATAAAACCTAGCGTTCATGAATACGATCTACTGCCATGAAGAGCAGAACTGACGAATAACAACGTAACAACTAGCTCCTGAAGAGAGCAGAAATAAATATGCGACAAATGTAGCAAGCATCCAGGCACCGCTCCTTGCAGACTCGTGGAGCGATGCGTATTCATGTCATGTGCATCTTCGCGATACCCATGCTTGGCGTGCTGTAAGGCGGCGGCCGCCTGGTCCGCTATTCGGTGTCGAGTTGCTGTCTAAACTTGGCCGTCTGCCAGCTCATGTGGCGCGCCGCTTGCTTCTGGATAGCAAACTTGCAGCACATTCGTGACACACCCACGTATCTTCCGTACCTTGTCTTCCCACTCTTCCACGGCGTGACCAGGGCTGCTCTACAGTTCCACCGCCGTTCACCAGATGGCAGGCGCGCCGCTCTCCGTCACTCGGTGGCCGGCAGTTCATACGAAGCTGTGCGGGTCCAGGTAGCGACCCATCAACAGGATAGCGCCGGTCGGGTCGTGCCGCACCGCGTACAGGAAGGCCCGCTCGTACTGGAGCCGCACCAGCGGCGCGCGCGGCTCGAGCGCCGGCGGCTCGGGCCGCGGCTGGTCCGGCTCGGCGGGCCGTTCCCAGGGCAGCCGGGCCGCGCCCGCCACCCACAGCGAGCGCTGACTGCGCCTGGCCGTCGCCCCCGCCTCCCTGGCACCGGCACCGTCGTCTGCAGCTTGGTGTCCGTGTGGGGTGTGCTCCCCATCGTTAGAATGATCTCCATGGACTGCGTGGTCCCCGTGGGCTTCATGGTCCCCGTGGGCTGCATGGTCCCCGTGGGCTGCGCGATCCCCGTGGGCTGTATGATCCCCGTGGGCTCCATGGTCTCCGTGGTTCCCGTGGGCTTCATGGTTCCCGTGGGCTGCATGGTCTCCGTGGGCTGCGTGGTTCCCATGGGGTGTGTGGTTCCCGTGGGCTGCGTGGTCCCCATGGGCTGCATGGTCTCCGTGGTCCCCGTGGGCTGCATGGTCTTCGTGGTCCCCGTGGGCTGCATGGTCTCCGTGGTCCCCGTGGGCTGCGTGGTCTCCGTGGTGCCCGTGGGCTCCGTGGTCCCCGTGGTCTTCGTGTCCTGCCTGGTGCAGGACACTACCATCGCCCAGGTGGAACTCGGTCAGCTGCAGCAGGCCGCCCAGCGTCAGGTCCCGGATGCCGTTGACGCCTGAGAAGTCTGCGTCCGGTCCGGCGGCGGTGCGCACCCCCATGCGCCGCAACGTGGGTCGGAGGTCGGCGTCGGTCCGGTGCGCCACCACCGGCACGGTCACCTCCACCGGCTGCGGGCTGGCGGCGCGCGCCACCTGGCGCCACACGGCCGGTGTCAGCCGCGCCTCCAGCTCGGCCAGTCCGTTGGCGTCGAAGCGGCGCCGGCCGCCGGGCAGCAGCAGCAGCAGCTGCAGCTCCCCGCCAGCATACGGCAGCGCGGCCACCGTCACGTCGTGCTCGGCGCTGTAGCCGGCCGGCAGAACGCCGCGCACGCGCAGGCCGGCTGTGTGCAGCACGCGCCGCAGCGCGGACGGGAAGCGCAGGAACGACACGTCGACCGGCTGCACGTCCAGCGCCGGCGACAGCGTGCCCTGGCGGAGAGGACGCGCGTCAGCGGCAGCCGCGTCCGTCGCCGACGCACGCTGGTTGGCTGCCTCGTTGGTTACTTGGGCGTCGGGACGCTGCGAGTGTGTGGTTATGTGGTGGTCGCGTCTCTCTGTGCGCGCTCAATATGTGGTGCATGTCTGGCAGGTGTTGATTTCAGCCGACTGAAGCACAGGTTACAGGCGATTCAATCACTCGCCAGATGACGCCTCAAGAGCCCGGCGCTCCAAGTTGCGTAAACACCACATCGAAAATGGGGACACTACCAGCACACCCTAAAACGTTACCCGGTGCCCGGTGCTCTACCGCGACCTCCTCAAAACATGAGTAACCCCGCGACGGGCCACTCACGTTGAAGAAAGTGGCGGAGGCGGTGACCAGCGACGGGTCGACGGCCGGCACCGTCTCCGAGTCACCGATGAAACTGCCGAGGTCGCCGTCGCTCGCCTCGGCCATGCAGCCGTTGATGCTCTCTTGGATGGTGTTCGGTGCCGTCAGGTCCGCCTGGGCGTGTGGAAAGACGTTATAACGCCAGTCACCTTTCGTCCGCATCGCGTTTTGCCGGACTTCCAGTGCTGAGCCGTGGTCAAACTTATAAGGTTAAGAACGACCAAATAGGAAGTAGCAATGATGGGACATCGCACATCAACTGGAATTACCTGTGATTACCTAGAGCATAACATGCTGAAAGCACATTACCTTGCAAAATGTTAGACACCTTTGGTCTCCTCAGAAGCATTTTAAAACTGCCCACGAAATGGAATGAACCAATCGCTCACGTGTGATTTGATTGTAGGACGGTAGAACCGGTGTATTAAAGAGTGGTACCCGCTGAACATTTCGCCTTTGTCCTGAAACACAAGAACCTTGGTCACTTGCATGTCGTTGATGGGAAAAGTAGTCTGATATCTACAAGTTTTTATCGACCACATTTTTGGAAGCATGTCCATAAAATAGTACGATTAGACTTGCGATGGTTTCATTTGTGTATGTTAGTCCCCTATTTCTGCAGTTTCATTCATCCATAGATGGTCGAGAACGAATGCTTTGAATATGTCCAAAATTAGTATTCATGAATCTCAAAATCACAACGTGACGGAGACACTTAAATGTGACCTACCGCCTGCTTGAAGAGGATATTGCAAACCGCAGTCTTGTGTCGTCCCTTCTGGTTCATATACCGCAGGAATTTGAAGAACCCGACATGTGGGTTGAAGTCGATCATCGAGTCCAGGTTCAGGAGGGCGTCCAGCTCATCCGCCGTGTCGCCACGGGAGCCCAGGAACAGCATCGCCATGCTGCTGGTGACACCTAGCGGCGACATGACCATGTTCTGCTTGCGATAGCCGGGCGCCAGGTTGCGGTACATGGACAGTGCGAGACGATTGTTGTTATCGACGAAGGATCTGGTTCTCTGGTCCACTGCGAAGAGGCTGTCCTCCAGGCCCAGGCTTCCTTCTGGTGGCTGCTGCAGACTAGGGCTGCTCTCGTCAGGCCCACCCACACCATGATCTCCATGGTGACCGGCATGGTGACTTCCATGGTGGTCTTCCTCATGATGAGCGCCATGATGGGCTCCACCTTCATGGCCCGCGCCATTGTGAGCCGCGTGATGGTCTCCCTCGTGATGGGCACCATGATGCTCTCCATGGTTGGAACCTCCATGGTGGCCTGCATCATGATGAGCTTCGTGGCCGTCACTGGAATGTGATCCGTGTGTACTGGCGCTGTGGTCTCCATGGTGACCCTCATCGTGAGCTCCGTGCTGTTCTCCGTCGTGGTGGTGCTCCCCGGCGCTGGCACCGACGTGCTCGTGAGCCCCCTCAGGGTGCTCTCTGTGGGTTCCGTGGTCATCACCCTGAGCATCTCCGTGCGGACCGTGACTGTCACGGACATCACCGCCGTCGCCATCTTCGTCGTAATCGAAGTGCGCATCGTGACTCTCGCCGGGAAGTGCGCTATCATGATGTGTCGGAGCCACCTCTCCAGGCGCGGTGCTGGCACCAAGCCCCGCGCCATCGGTGCCGTCACCTCCACCCCGGTGCGGTGTGTCGTGGGCCAGCTCCTGACTGCCCTGGGTACCTGCAGCCTCCAGCCGATCCGCCCCGACGTCGTCGAGCGCGGCCGCCGCCAGCCGCTCCAGGCCGCTGTCGTTGTCGTCCAGCGTCAGGAACAGGCCGTCGAAGGCGACCCCGGCGTCGATCGGAGCCTGGCCCGAGCCGCCATCCACCGAGAAGGAGAGGATGTGGCCCCCGTCCGCCTGCACGCCTGGACGGAACAGGCTGGAGAGCGTGAAGGTCGGCCGAGCCGGCTCCGGCGCCGCGCCGCTGCCTTCGGCCAGCTCGTCCACACGCTTGTCCGCCGACTCCTTGACGGACGCGCCCGTCAGCTCGCCCCCTCGCTCGTCGGCTGACGCCTCGACGGACGCGTCCGCCGGCTTGTCCCCTCGCTCGTCGGCCGACGTCTCGACGGACGCGTCCGCCGGCTCGTTCCCTCGCTCGTCGGCCGACGCCTCGACGGACGCGTCCGCCGGCTTGTCCCCTCGCTCGTCGGCCGACGCCTCGACGGACGCGCCCGCCGGTTCGTCCCCTCGCTCGTCGGCCGACGCCTCGACGGACGCGTCCGCCGGCTTGTCTCCTTGCTCGTCGGCCGACGCCTCGACGGACGCGTCCGCCGGTTCGTCCCCTCGCTCGTCGGCCGACGCCTCGACGGACGCTTCCGTCGGATCGTCCACGGCTTCGTCCGTGGGCTCGAGCTCCGATCCGTCGGCGGGCTCCAGGCCGCTGCCGCCGGCCGGGGCTGAGTACTCCAGCACGGGGATAAGGTCGTCGGGGTCGTGCGACGCTTGTTCGTCGGCCGCGAGGTCGGCGGGAGCCGCCGGCGCGGAGGGACCCGACCCCTCGCCTGTCGGGAAGAAGTCGTCGTCCGAGTCAAGGCTGTCGTGATCGGTTGGCTGGTGGGGGATGGCTGCATCGATTGTGTTGAAAGTGGCGTTGTCGAGAACCTCCGCTTCCTCCTGCTCAGTGACGGGCGCTGTGTCACCAGTTCCCATCAAGCCGTCCACAGAGCCCAGGTCCATAAGCTCTGAGCTGTTTTGTAGCATGAGAAACTGGATAAGGTTTTCCATTGTCTGCACTTGATCAGGGCTCATGGCCTCCCTGTTGATCACACTAGCCGACGACGACTGCTCATTTGTCTGAGAGTTCTGCTTTTGTCCTGCCTCGGGTATGTTCTCCGCCTGCTGTGGCGGGCGGGTCTCCGGCGCCCGGACACCAGCCGCCTCGCCGGTGTGCTCATTGACGAGACGTGACAAAACCGAGTGGTGCCGGTACGGCGAGTACAGGCCGCCCGCGGTCGGCGCCAGCGGCACCGACTCGACCGCGCCCTGGTCCGCGGCCATCAGCTGGGCCATCTCCTGTTCCGAAAAGGGTCGCAGCCCCCCGTCGGTGATGAAGCTCAGCACCGGTCTGCGGAACCCAGCTACTGAGCCGCCGCCAGGGGGCCGCCGGCCGCCGGCGCTCGCCTCCGCCGCCGTCGGCGGACTCTGCTCCTCGGACCTTCGGGCTGCCAGGCTTGGTCCCGATGCCGCGTATGCATCCTCCGCGGTCGGTGGCGCACGGTCGGGGCCGCGCGGGAGGTTAGCGGCTGTCGAATACGCGTCCTCCGCGGTCGGTGGTGCACGGTCCGGGCCGCGCGGGAGGCTGGCGGCTGGCGCATACGCATCCTCCGCGGTCGGTGGCGCACGGTCGGGGCCGCGTGGGAGGCTGGCGGCTGGCGGAACACTGGCGTCTGAGGCTGGCGACGCCTGCGCCGGCACGAAGTACTGCACCCGAGCGGGCGGCGCGCGCTCCGTCTGCATGTACGCCACCTCCTCCAGCGGCACCTCGGTCGCCATAGCCACCTCCGGGTCCGAGAGCAGCATCACGTTCAGCCTGGACAGAAGCGCCAGCTCCTCCGGCTCCAGGACAGGGGGCAGCACCCCAGGCCCCGAGTCCGGCCCGGGTGGCGGCACTGCCTGCGTCGGCTCCGGCACGGCCGGCAGCGAGGGCTCCTCCTGCTCGGCCGCCGGCCTGATCTCGGGGGCGGACGGCAACGGGTCGGGGTAGCGGATCACCTCCGGCGATACAGTGCTCTGGCCCTGCTCGCCCAGCGAAGCCACCTCGGCGTTGACGATGGTGCCGACCGTGGCGACGACGCTGTCGAGCTGTGGCGCAGCGTCGGCGGCCGGCGGGGCGCCGCCCAGCAGCGCGTCTCGCCGGCCCGGCGCCAGCGAGTCGAAGTCGTGCGGCGAGAGGAAGGTCCTCTCCACCGTACCCTCGCGGCCGAGCACGTAGTAGCGGAACAGTGGCGGCGGCGGTTGCGGCTCTGCCACCGCCTCCTGGCGGCGCAGCCTGAAACACGGCACGGCCGGGGTCGGGTGTTGTGCAGGCAGGTCTGGCGAACCACACTGCGCGCGCCGAGGTCAGCTTGGAAATGCGCTGCTGCTGTTCATGGTGTATTGGGCATAACGTTGCTGCTAGTTCGATTCCGATCGATCGATTCCGAAAGATACTACGGCGGCGTTTTGATCTTTTTTTAAAAAAATGGTATGTCCAAGAGGTATAAAATCACCTGATACCAAAATTCGTCAGGATTAATTTTGAGTGAGTACATGCAGAGAACGCATGATGGTGTTTCGCCTTTGCTGTAAAGAAATCAGGTGTAGCATACTTCAGCATGAGGAGCAGAGCAGCGGTGCACCGCAGGTGGAGTGGGGACGCCTCGTGGGGGACTGAATCAAGGAGGATCACAGCACATCATCTACCTGTCGGTCACAGTGCTGCTATGCTCTGTTAGTAAAGTATGGTTCTTACATAGCATGTGTTGAATTGCGTCACAGGCGCGTTCTTTATGTTACTTGTCCGATCGACACCAGAAAAGATGTCCTGCCCTCTGCGAAGTGCTTGCGAGATGAGCGTCTCGAAGGACCGTGAACAGAATGTAACGGTCCTAGGATCGAACGATGTGCCTTCCAGTGTGCATGGCAAGCCATCTAAGGGCTCTCAAAACGACAGAGCTCTGTCTCCGTCAACCACATAATGGCCATGAAATGGACATGTCAGCGATAAAGCTGGGACAGAGGATCTCGGCGCCGTGGGAGACAGGCGCCGACCAGTCACTGCCGCTAATCGCCTCCGTGGTGACGATGTTGTACTGTTTAGACGTGAATGCGTTCCGCTTTATGTAAGCATAGCGGCTCTGAGGCGTGTCGAGGCGGGACCACGTCCGTGGTCAAAGTCGGTGAGAACCGTGCACGCGGCCGCTGACCACCACTGCCGTGAAGAATGTCACGGCGCGAGAAGCAAAACACACCGTTCATGACAGAGGTGATCAGGACCTGGCCTCCTCCTCGGAGAGAGGACGGGGAGAAAGCATCGCTGAGCGGGCGGCCCCGCCTCCTGCGTCCTGTCCCTCGGTCCCTCGGTCCGCCGAGCGCCAGCATCGCCAGCCTGCGGGAGCGTAATGGTGCGGCGCCGGCGGCGCGAGCTATGGGCCCGATCCCACGGCCGGCCGCGACCACGCCGGCACGTGACGCGACGCTTCCGTGACGCCAAAAGCGCCACAGTGGCCGCCCGCCGATCACGCGCCGCTATTGTCGACAAAAACGCGCGTCACTACCGGCAGGCCGACGGCCCGGGACGACTGCTGCGCAGGGGATGGCGAGGACCGGGACGGTTGCCGCGGAGCGGGCAGTGTGATGTGACAACTGCCGCCGAGAGGATGGCGGGGCAGGGACGACTACTACCAAGAGGATGGCGGGGGCAAGGACGACTGTTATTAAGAGGAAAGCGAGGGGGACGCTGTTACCGAGAGCATGACGGGGACAGGAACGTCTGCTACCGAGAGGATGACGGGGACATGGACGTCTGCTGCCGAGAGGATGCCTGGGACGGGGACGTCTGCTGCTGAAAGCATGACGGGGACCGTAACAGCCGTCCTCGGGAACATGCAGAGGTTAGGACTGTTGCTCTGGAGACGATATTGGATGGGGATCGTGACGACCGCTCCCGTGAGGGCACGGTGGGGATCGAAGTAGGAGCAGATGTTCCTGAGAGGTCAACAGGACCCGAACACATGCGACCGAGAGGACGGTGAGGACCTGAACATCCACTCCTGAGAGGATGGCAGCGACCTGGACCAGAACCTACTCCCGAAAGGAGTCCGAGCACCCGCCCGCTCCCCGATACCTTTGCGCACCGGAGTCTTCCAAGTGAGAAACAAGTTTTTCAGCAAGCTCCATAAAAGGGCGTGAGGCGGATGACCGATAAGCAGCGTGTCGGGTCGGGGCGGTCTGAGCAGGCTCGTGACCGTAGTGCATGCTGTCGCCTCACCTGTCGGCCAGCGTGAGGCTCCGCGGCCGGTGGACGGCGGACCGGACCTGCCGACCGCTCAGCAACGGCAGCAGCAGCAGCAGCACGGCTGAAACACGGCAGCGCTGTCAGCAGGGGTCGACTTCCGCTGATACTATATCGGTGATGGTCTGGCTCGGCGACGCCATATTTCTGTGCAGAGGTCAGCGAGACAAGTATCGCATTCATGCCAATTCGGCCCGCGCCACCTGCAGATATTCGTGGTTTAAGCCTCCTGAGGAGTGGCATCTTATTTGCGTCACTGTATCATAACTACACTGAACAGAAGTACACAAATATACAGCAATCAATGTGCTACGCGAATTGATCTTCGATCCGTTACGTCCAGTGGCGGTCGTGCAAGCCGCAGGTCACTGATCCCGGCGGGCGGGTGTCAGTCGCCGTAAGCTAATCACCGGGTCACGGGGCCGGAGCGGCGTCAGACAGAGCATCGCCGCTGCTCTCTTCAGCGATGCCACAGTACGCCGGCCGGCCTAGCCGGGGAGTCAGGAGGGCCCGAACGCGTCGTGACTGGCCGTCTTCACGACTCGCCGTTTCCTCGTAAAACATGGTGGTGTGGCGCAGGCGTGAGCCAAGCCAGCCACGGACGTCGTTTTGTTTGCCGGCCGGCCGTGTGGCGGACAGCCGGGCCCGGCTGGTCTGCAGTCACGACGGTGGAGGCGTGCGCCGGGAGGTCACAGGGTCACGAGCGTCGCGCGCGTGCTCCGGCTGACCTGCGACCCGAATCAAGGTCGGCAAATAAGCATGCGCGACTTCTGGTGATGTAAGGCACACGACAGCTGAGGACGCATTGTTTATGAGTGGGGTCGCAAGTTGAACTGGTCCTGACGTCAACCAACCAGAATTGCTGCAGAGGGAACCCGTCCCGGTCCGGTCAGTTGCCCTTCTCACGGAAGTTCATCTTTGCGGCCACTGACCGCGCTGGCATGCAGCTTCAGCGATAAGTGGTGCAGGTCCTTCACAGCCGTGGTTTAATTTTGATCAGGTAGCTGCACAGTTACACCGATAAAAGTGTGTGTCAACGTGCTCAGCCGGTTGCGCGTGCTAGAGTGTACCTAAGTCAGCCGCCGGCTCCGGGGCGTTATTAGGGCTGACGTCAGATTTCGGGAACTAGAAAAAGAAAACCAACTGCATGGGCCGGCGGATGCGCAGTCTGCAACTATTCAGGAGAGCTCAATCGCTGTCCGTGCGACCGGCAGCAGTGCCCATTTTTGACCAGGTATCGTTTAAGTCTCCTTTTTAGGTCGCCATCCACCGGGCGTCAAACACGGGAGCCTAAAAGAGAGTTCGAGGAAGTAACAGACATTCACCACAGCCCATGTTGGTCTACATTCGCCCAAGTAGATTTGCGTTTTGTTCTTCATGCTTTAGTCACAGAAAACGTACGTCATTCCAAATCATTTTAGTTTGTTAATAGAGATCGCCAGGCTCGGCCAGGCCCAACAACCAGCCTTTTTCAAGCTTTGTCCTTTGCGTGGGGGCATGTACAGAAGTGATTTATCCCTTTGACCGCTCAACCCACAAAAGACGGATATTGTCATGTCATGACAACATCAATGTCAACACATTTTTCAAAAAATGTTTCCGCTGGATGCCAAATGTGACTGTCTCCTCCCCATTAGGCTCCAATTTCACCTAAATATAAGCCGTATGCATATATAAATATTCAACTATCGTGGACCGTCCCTCTCAATCAGGCAACTGTCTCCCATTCCGGAGTATGTCGTTCCCACTTAGTTATGTTCCACTGTCGCATATGAAAGCCGACTACACATGGAGTTCTCGACAGATTGGGGAGCGCGTCCATCCACATGTCGGACCGCCAGCAGCGGCCCCACGGCGAGCTCGGTCAGCTGTTGCGCCGTCGGGAGGCCGCGCGGCCGGCTGTTCGGCTCGGGTGGCGTCGCTCGGCGGCGCCGGCCCGGCGCCGGGTGACCGGCCGGCCGGCCTCCCGGCACCGGGCGGCGGCCGAGAGCCGTCATCAGCCAGCCCAGATGGCTGATGGTGGCGTCGACGTCATCCCCGCTGCGCTGACGTCACCCGGAGGACGACCAGGCCAGCCGGCGATGCTCGCCTCTTGGCTCGTGGCAGCTCGTGGCAGCCGCGTAACAGCTGGCGCGCTGTTAACGGGGAACGATTTGCTGGGGCTAAGAGCAGCATTAATCTTGCATGAGTTCACAGTTACATGAGGGTCAAAGACACCACACCCGCAGTGCCTCGTCATCGCACGCGCAGTAAAAGGAGTGTACGTTCCCCCAACGGTACGCGTGAGCAGAGCGATGGGGTTTGTTTCCAATCATTTCCATTTGGCTGGCAGGGAAAGAACGAATTAGCAGCGATGAAGGCAGACGTAGGCCACCAACTTGCGGTTTGCGACGAACCAACAGCGACTGGAGGAATCATGAGTGTGCGAAGGCTCAGCATGTAAATGTGATATCCAGCAGGGTTTCAGACGCTGAAGATGACATCAGGAAGAAGACGACCAGGAGCTCGGGGAGACCGAGGTGGCGGGGGCCTAGACAAATCCAAAATAACAGAAGTGTTCAGACAGTTGCAGTGACAACAGTAGCACGAGTAGTGGCAGTGACAGTAGTGGTTCTTTCATTTACAGTAACGGCGGTGGTCGGAACAGTCGCAGTGACATAACTGGTTCGGGCAGCGACGGTTACAGCAGCGGTTCAAAGCAGCCATCGACAGTGACAGCAGTGGCTTGGGTAGTGATGGCGACGGCAGTGGTTTTTGGACAGTCGCAGTGACATAACTGGTTCGGGCAGCGACGGTTACAGCAGCGGTTCAAAGCAGCCATCGACAGTGACAGCAGTGGCTTGGGTAGTGGTGGCGACGGCAGTGGTTTTTGGACAGTCGCAGTGGCAGCGGTGGTTGGGATGGTGACAGTGGTTTTTGGACAGTCGCAGTGACATAACTGGTCCGGGCAGCGACGGTTACAGCAGCGGTTCAAAGCAGCCATCGACAGTGACAGC